CGGGCCCGTGGCCTCGCCACCACCGCCCAGGTACGCGCCGCGCCCGGACACCCCTTCCTCGGGGCTGCCGAGCCCGCGCCCTCCCCAGCACGGCAGCCCTGGCCCGGCCCGAGCCGCGAGGGAGCGGCCTGGATGTGCCCCGCTCCGCCGGCGCTTCCTGGAAACCGAGAAGGGCGCTGGAGGGTCATGGGTTGAACGGCGATCCTGGCCTGAAGCCCTTCGCGTGTGAGCCCCGGGCCTAGAGGGCAGGAAAAGGGGTCATGTGGTCTCTTTGTCTTCCAAAGTAAAGTTTGCTAGTGGCAGCCCCTGGAATAACAGTCATTGTCGCAAAGACAGGCTTTACCAGCGAGGATCTTGTGGTTACTTTGGGATTGTGTTAATTACTAATGAGATTTCGAGCTCTTGGTCTCAGCCGTGTCATAAGTACAGTGACAGCGTTATTAAGCCTGCAAGCTGTTCTGGTGGGGTCTGGTAACTCTGCTCTCCCTGGGAGAGTATTTTTGCTAAATTACAGTTGTTCAGTTATTTTGCTATTGCAACTAAGATAAACTTGATCAAGCTTCTGGGTAAATTATTTTATTTCCTGTCATAATGTGATAGTGAAGCTGTTCATGCAGTGATTGGGACAAATAAGGCTTTATCGGGTAAGACAGAGTGATTAAAAATGCCCTTATCAGGGGAAACTGTATTACCACGTCACATCTCCGCATCACGTCCACAGTAGCTTTTGGTTCCTCATTGCTTCGACAGAACCGTTGCATTTAAGGCTGTTCAAGTCTTTTAGTGTGACTTGCCTCTCCTTTGGCAAGACTTCTTTTCTCCAAGCAGAAGAATACAAGTTTTCAAGAGAGAAAACTTTCTTCCAGAGAGCATGTTAAAATAAAGTTGGCTCACCAGTGGAACACAAGAGTTGACTTTATGTGCTTCTTGGCACAATGTTCTTAACTCTCAATTTTGAGGCAGCTGCAAGTGCTATTTGAAATGTATTTCAGGCTCATTATTTTCTTCATATACATGCAATGTTTATTTGTCCATAAATTATCCAAAAGGATTAGTTGTCTGAATGAGACGACATATGTCTTGATACTGCAGCTAAAACTGGAGAAAGTGCTAAGTATGTGTTGTGCAAAATCGTTTCTAGGCCTGAAGGATGACAGGTATTAGCCTCAAGCAGCAATTCACAGCTGAAGGAAGTTAATCCTTTGGAGTACTTTGCCTTTTCTTCCTTTTTTGAGGCTCAGATTTTTTTTTTTTTTAAAGATCTTTCTAATGTGTTTTACCGATAGATCCCGAAGATCTTTGGGAGGCAGTTATGGGGATAGCTTTATACAGCTTAAGTGGCAAGCCAGTTTGCATACTGCTTGATAAAGAAATTGAGAACTAGGACTAAAAGCAAAGAAAGCATGTTGAAATCCCCAAGGCCAGTTGAGTGGTAATGACCAAAACACATCTCCTATATGTTTGTCTTTATTTTTCCTCAGAGCAATGCTAAGGTAGCAGTGCTTGGAGCCTCCGGAGGGATTGGGCAGCCCCTTTCTCTTCTCCTGAAGAACAGCCCGCTGGTGAGCAGGCTCAGCCTCTACGATATCGCTCACACTCCGGGTGTTGCAGCTGACCTCAGTCACATCGAGACAAGAGCCCAAGTTAAAGGTACTGCGAGCTGCTGTACGCAACGTGTGTGCAGAGAACTCTGTTAATAAGTTCTGACGAAGTTAAAGAAAGCTTAATCTTCTAATCTTCATTCAATTCGAAGATTTCTTAAAGGAGACTTTTTGCAGTGCTTGACTATGTAGTAACAAAGCAGGCTCTAAAAGTATGCGTAACAGGAGGTATGACGTTTTTTCAAAAAAAAAAAAAGGTTCTCACAACTCTCGTCGTGTTTGAAACATGTAACGGCAAAGCATGTTAGGATCCATCTTTAACCTTGTTGTTTTGCTTTTGAGCATAAGTCTGAACTGAAGGCAAAAGAAAAAAAGAATTGGGTGCTTTTAACTGTAATTTTTTTTTTCAACTGTCAGGTTTATTTAACTGGCAAAATCATAATGCCTAGGTGTTTTGCATTCCAGGTTTCTTGGGGCCTGAGCAGTTGCCAGAATGTTTGAAGGGCTGTAATGTTGTAGTAATTCCTGCAGGAGTGCCTAGGAAACCAGGTATGTTCTCCTTGTTAAAAGTTCCAGGGCTTCCATGAAGTGTTTCCCTGCAGCCCTGCTGTTTAAATAGCGCTGTGTCTGGTGCCTTAGTGGCAGAGACATTCCTGATGCTGATTTGAATGTAAATGATCTGCTACTGACCTAGAATTTGTAGTATTGGGCACTGGGGTTAACTTCTGTCATAATGTAGATCAGTTGTAAAATAAAGATCAGCTCTGATTTCTGGAGTTTCTGTGTAAGGGTGAGGTGCAAAGACATTTCAGAGAGGCTGTAAGTAATCCTGAACTTCCCTAGTGTTTCCTACACAAAACAGAGCTGCGTTCAGAGACTGGTCCTTTGTTCCATTTGTTCAGCAGAATAAAAAATGAGCCATTTGTTTTGCATTATTTGTGGTACTGTTTCTGAGGCTTTTTGAATGCTCTTAAGCTTTTCTAGCATCTCTGAAATGTTTCATTCCTTCCTTGTCCTATTGGGAATGCAGAGGAAGTATAGATTTTATTCCTGTCACTTCCTATTTTTTTTTTTTTATGAATAAAGTAGTTTCTGCAACAGAAATGAGCAGTAGCTCTTATATAGCACTTAATGTGTTGCACAGGGCAATTAGTGTTCTGACTGCAGTGATAGGTGGGAATTTCATCCTCGGAGCAGCTGAGCTGCTGTGCATATTACTGATAATTAAAAGGGTCAGTAATGCAAATACATTTCAGAGAGACTGTAAGTAATCCTGAACTTCCCTACTGTTTCTTACACAAAACAGCTGTGTTCAGAGACTGGTCCTTTGTTTCATTTGTTCAGCAGAATAAAAAATAAGCCGTTTGTTTTCCATCATTTGTGGTACCGTTTCTGAGGCTTTTTGAATGCTCTTAAACTTTCCTAGCATCTCTGATATGTTTCATTCCTACCCTGTCCTATTGGGAATGCAGAGGAAGTATAGATTTTATTCCCATCACTTTTTATTTTTTTTATTTTTTATGAATAAAGTAGTTTCTGCACCAGAAATGAGAGAGTAGCCCTTATGCAACATTTAATGTGTTGCACAGGGCAATTAGTGTTTTGACTGCAGTGATAGGTGGGAATTTCATCCTCAGAGCAGCTGTGCTGCTATGCACATTACTGATAATTAAAAGGGTCAGTAATGTGATGCCTCGAGCTGCTGGGATGAAATAGGTTCTGACAGTTACACCTGAGGTGGTCGCTCCTGCAAAGGGCTGATCTATAATAAAGGGAGTCATTTCTTATTAACTGGGAGAGCTGCCCCATTACTGCCACTGGAGAGTTTTCTGGATATAGTAAATCAGAAACCAAAGTTGTTGTATCTCCACCCAGAGTAGAGCATTGCTTTTTGGTTGAGTCGCTTGCCAAATAATGTGTGAACTGTGGGTAGCTTCATAAAATATTGAACTGAATATGTTTTAGGTATGACCCGTGATGACCTGTTCAACACCAATGCAAGCATTGTGGCTAATTTGACATCTGCGCAAGCCACTGTCAAAAAGCCATGATCTGTATTATTTCTAACCCGGTAAGGATGTTCCAGAGATCTGGAATATGTAGAGAAAACCCAGGCTCTGAGTACTAGAGTAACACAGTTCCTTTTGTGACGTTCACTAGTGTTTTCTTGACTCTAATCTTCAAGATCTGTAGAGTATTCACAGCAGGGTGTGTCGGGGGAAAAACCCTTAAAGCTTGGTTCTAATTACCAGTTTACCAATTTGCCTTTGTCCATATTGAAGTTAAATTTGCCCTGGGTATAAAAATGCTTACTTTAATCAACCTCTAGATTACTGTGGTTATAATATGTACTGGCATATTAGCTGAAATAGAGCTCATTAGGGGAGGCACCTTTAAAAGGTGAATGAACAAGTTATTTTCTTGATGATTATTTCAAATGGAGGAGTTAATCCAGCCTGGCTCTAAATTGCTCTTTAATTTAGAGACTGAAATAACTGGTTACAGAAGACTTCAAGCTTGAAGTTTACTTTGGGTTGTTTACTAGCTTGTGCAGTTTATGCATTGGCTTAATTATTATGTTCTTAATAAGTATTTGCCTACTTTTGCTTATAGGTAAATTCAACCATCCCCATAACTTCAGAAATCTTCAAGAAGCATGGTGTATATAATCCCAACAAAATTTTTGGTGTTACAACACTGGACATTGTCAGAGCAAACACTTTTGTGGCTGAGCTAAAGGTAGGTCATAGTAACAGATCCTGGAGGAGGGATGCTGTATGCTTCTGTCATCAAATCTATCAAAATGCTTTTTAAATCACTGGACAGACCTGACGTAGCTCAGATTTCTCCAGAGCTGGAGGTGAAGGCAACACTTCCCACTTTCTATTCTTTGGATGAACTTGGGGATAGGGTTTCTGTCTTGCAAAATTCACTTCAGGACACTTTGACCTTCCATTTTCATAGCTGTCCTTTGAGTGAGCTATGTGTCTGCCTTAATTCTGTTGGCGTTTTTAACTCTTGGTGCAAGCAGAGAAGGTTGCACTGTAGTGCATCTCTGCAAGGAAGGTGCCCGCTGTTATAAAATGTTTTGTACAGTACTAGGAGGTGTAATAAAATGACTGGTGGAGTTTATAGTTTTGCTGTTATTTTTGTGAACTTATGTTAATACCATTTTATAACTTGTCATCAGGATAACATGGAGTTTAACAGCATAGAGTTAGCTTTGTCCCTGGAGTGTAACTTCGTGTGAAACTTCTATTCTGTATATTACCATTGACTTATAGATCTGTCCACATACCTAGGGCAAAGAATGAAGTGTGATGGCTTTTTTAACCATATGCTTCAGAAAGTGAAGTTTCATGTTTTCTTTAGGGTTTAGATCCAGCTCGTGTAAGTGTCCCAGTTATTGGTGGCCATGCAGGGAAGACTATCATCCCTCTCATCTCTCAGGTAGGTCATAGTGCCTCTTGTGTGTTCTTGCACTATGTGCTGTTCCTCATCAGGATGTAAGAGTTAATGTGAAGCGCCTTGGTCGTGGCACGTAACCTCCTAGGGTGCAGCACACACAATCATCCCTGCTTTTGTGTGGATGCTTTTTCTCTGAGATGAGGTGCAAGACTTTGAATGCTTATGAGCTAAATCTGAACTCTGGGTGGTTTAAATAGCTCCCCTATTTCCCCTAAGGAGTTCTGGGATAAGCACTGATGAATAGTGTGGGTGCCAAGGTATGTTTGTGTTGCATCGTGTGTGTGTTTTTAATAGCTGTTGAGTGACATGAGCGCCTTGCTTCAGTGGGAAAATGAAACTGTCTTTGCCTTGGAGGCCTGGAAACACTGCCTCAGTGCCCAGAATTGAAATGAGGCAAAGCTCAGGTTCTGTGTGGAGGCCTCCTTCAGTAATGCCTGGCAGTCAGATAAACATTGCCCTCAACCTAAACTAGAAGCTCTTGGAAAAATAAAATGCAGTTCCAGAGTAGGCTGTAACTTCAGGAGGAGGTGGCTAGAATATGTACAACACAAAGGGATGCTACAGAGCAATTCCCTGGGAAAAGGGCAAAGCTTTGCTTTAAGCAGGAATCAAATATCCTTCACAGAGGGCATGCTTCTAGGGAATAAGAGGAAAGGCCCTGGGGCAGCTGAATCCAGTGGGGACAGTGACACTGCTCTTAACATACTTGCAGAGCTGTATGTGAAGGTTCATGAACTTTGTAAATAGTGCTTTTAGAGTGCATGCTTCATAAAGCTCTTGACTTCCATAATGCCACAGTGACCTGATTATATAGTAGGTGGCCTTTTGAAATTCCTAGGGCCCGTTATATGCTTGGAGGACAATGACAAGCCCTGGCTTTGTAGTCAGGCTGTGGAGTGTTCTTGAGCAATCTAGGAATGATTAACTGTTACAATTCATACGGTAACCAGAAGCTTTAGTGAGCTTCCTTAGCTGGTCAGTCTGTCACCCAACCTGTAAGCTGGGATAACTAGCTTTCCTAGTTAAAACTTGTTGTAACAATATCAGCTGTAGAGAAAGCACTGGATGGGTGGCCTTATACTGAACCTATAGAGGTTCTGGTATTCAATAGTAACATTTTCTTCTATTTTTAGTGCACACCAAAAGTGGACTTTCCTCAGGATCAGCTGCAAAAGCTGACAGGGAGAATTCAGGAAGCTGGCACTGAAGTTGTCCAAGCTAAAGCAGGAGCAGGTTGGTTTTTGGCTACAGCTTTTAAATAATTCCGTGTTGAATTGAATGAAGGCAGTACCAACTGTAGTTTATTCTTGACTAAAATTATGATGTAGAATTATGAATTGGGCTTACAGCTTACAAATTTAGCTGTTTTATTATGTCAGTATCTGTCTCAAAATGGCAGTAGAAGCAGCTTAGTTTGTAGGTAAGACCAAGCATTAATTGATCCTGCAGAATGTTTTACTTTGGTACAGAAGATGATTTTTAAAGCTGTGTCCCTCTGAATCTGGCCAGCTAACCAGCGTGTAGGTGATCAAAACCTGCTGCATAGTGATAAGATTGAGGCTTATGGTCTTCTATGGCCAGTGTTCGGACTGTGCCCAGATTGCAATTAATTACAAATAATGAAAGCACAACAGTAATTTTCTTTGCAAATATGAGGCAGACCTGGAGAATGAAAAGGGGAGGATTTTACATATGGTGAATACTGCCTGTATTCTTGTCTATAAGTGTATATACATAGGCTGGAGGGGAGGGGTGGCTGAAGAGGCAGAAAGAAAAATTGCTGGTAGGAAACATTGCTTTGCAGCGATTTATCAAAGTGGCTGTGAGTTTGAAGTAAATGGTGCTGCAGCTCCATAAATATAGCTGTATGGAAACACTTTGATACTAAAGAAACATATTATTGAAACGTGATCTGTGTTTTAAAAGTGATTTGACTTTACAGGATCTGCAACATTGTCTATGGCCTATGCTGGTGCTCGATTTGTATTTTCTCTGGTGGATGCAATGAATGGAAAGGAGGGGGTTATTGAATGTTCCTTTGTTCGATCAGAAGAGACAGAGAGCCCATACTTCTCTACACCTTTGCTACTTGGGGTATGTATTTTAAATAATGGGGCTTATAAACAGCAGTTACTGATTTACTCTTGTTTTTCTAACTCTGCCTTTTGTTTAGTGATTCAACTTTGTCTCATACTAAGATTCACTCACACTGATAGATGAGCATACATTTAAGAGTTCTTGAATATTTTGATATTTTAGCTATGTGCCAACCTGCTGTTTCACTGGAGCGCTGCTGCTTTTGTCCACCCTTAGACTGCAGCTCACTGAGTAACTTGTGTTAAGAGGTCGCACTGACCGCAAATTGGTGCCCATTTATGAAGAGCTTTCAGATAATTAACCAGAAATTGCAATGTGATCACCTCAACTTGTTCTGCTGCAAGCAAATCTGCACAAATTGAGATGTGTGGAAATTACAGTATGGGTTAATAGATTAGCTAGCTAATCTAGATTAGCTGCCCACCCCTGAAGGAGTTTTCCTTTGCCACCCTCCCCTGTGGATGAGGGGAAAAACAGACTCTGCAGGGCTGGAAAGTGCAGTGTGTGTTGTCCAAGTGCTAACTGATGAAGGAATGGAAGTGGAAGGGTGTTAAGAGGGAAGGACTTGGGTGCAGACTTAAGATCTGGAACAGCATCCAGGAGAGCAGCTCTGAAGAAGTTCCAATTTGCAAGCCAGTGGCAAATGAAGGGCTCTCACACTAGGAGAGAATTCCCGTGCAGGTCTGTGTCATGCAGGGCACAAAGGAGCAGTTGGCATCCATCTTCCCTCAAAAGCACCAGGTGGCTAGTGCAGGATATGCAGCTTTCATACTGCAGGGTGGGCAGTGAATGAGAAGCTTATGAAGGCTATAAAAACTGCTGCAGAGAGCAAGGTGCTCCAGAGCCTTGCAAGGCAGCACAGGTCCTAGGCTGGGTCTCTATTGTAGGTGGATAATAAGTAAATCAGAGCTGTTAAGTTCCCTGGTTAATTAAGTGAATGGTTAATTCTTAAATAATTCTTCCCTCAGAAAAATGGAATTGAGAAGAACCTAGGTGTGGGCAAGATCTCCCCCTTTGAAGAGAAGATGATTGCTGAGGCTATGTCTGAGCTGAAGGCTTCTATTAAGAAGGGAGAGGAATTTGCAAAGAACTTCAAGTGAAGCATTGATGATGGAGAGGAATTGCAACTTCCTTAATTTATTAAGGCATCATGTCACTTTACGACTTCTGATTCAAAGCTCGTGCTTTGGTTGAAGTCTGTCTGTATTAGCTAAATGATTGTTGCCAGATGCTACTCGTCAATAAAACAGCCTCATTTTTTTCAGTGTATCAACTGGAATTGTTCTCATGTGCTTATCTCTGAAGGTGGAAGCTGCCTGTGTCTGAAAGGTTATCGGTTTCAATTGTAATGAGATACCAGCCTCGTAAAAGGGTGGCCCAGTTATTAGATCTTGTAAATAAGAACTATCCTGTGTCATTCCTTTGCAGAGGGGAATGTAATTGAAGGGAGTTAATTGTACAGACTGACAGGGATGGGGTTCAAGACAAAGAAAGCCTGAAGTTTTATTTGTTTAAATATGTTGAAAATCATGCATTTCTTCCCCAAATTGTGAAGGTCTTTAAAGATGAACACTGCCCTCTGAACTTAGATAATAGAGCAAGAGGGGTTCCTCCAGCTTAAATTCACTCAAATCAATCCTGTGCTGATTTTAGACCTTTCTTATTTCCACTGGTACAAAAGTTGCAAAATAATCTGCCTTTTAAGTAAAGGTTGGCGTTTCATGCTTCTTTAAGCAGCTTCTATCTCCAAAAAGGCTAACTAATGAATGAGAGTAAGCAACAGTAACAATGTACTGCAGTAGTAGTTTATAATTTTGAAATTGATGGTATCTGTATGGCCTGGCCTGTGTGGGTGCTCAGTTTTTCCCCTGTTCCTCCCTGCATGGGGCTTTGCTGCCTTTTGGCATAGTTTGAGCTGCTTGTTAGCACAGCAGCTGAGAAAACAGATGTGGTCAAACACTATCAAGGCAGGTTGAAGAGCCCTATGAGGAAAAACTTCCCATCAGGTGATCCAGGAAGGGTGTGTGTTTATTTTTTAGAAGGTGGCATTGCCTGTTTATTAAGTTGTTTTGCCTTAATCTCTTTTGTAAATTTACTTGAAAGTATTAGGAAAAGGGCATAGCAGTTGAAATGTCAGTTCTGCTCTAAGGAAATAATAAAATGATAAAGTGACTTCTTTCTAGACAGGGACAAAAGCTTTGATTTAGCATCTAGATAGACTTTGGTTACATTCATCCTCATGCAAATATAAAAATAAATGTCTGCAAGAAAATGGTGATGACAAGCTCAGTTGCTGACTTCTTTCAAGGTAAGCTTTAATGAAGGAAGCTATTAATTCACTCTGCCTCCGTGCTCTGTGGGCTGCTTACCCTATTGCTTTGAATTGCTCTAATCCACGTAGGTTGAATTCTAAGTTGAATTCTAATACAGACTGTATTTTGATGAGATGAGGGAAATGCCAGAGCCCAGAATCTCTGGGTTGAGGAAAGGGTTAGGCTGAGCATGAGAACCTGCTGTTCTCATAAGCTTCTCTTAAGGAAGAGACCCAGAGATAATAGATACCAGTTGGGGTCTTGCTCTTTTTTGTCAGTATTCCAATTTCTGTGAGTTTGAGTGAGTTTACAGTTCAAATACAGAGAAGCTTCTCTTAAGGAAGAGACCCAGACATAATACATACCGGTTGGGGTCTTGCTCTTTTTTGCTCAATTTCTGCGAGTTTTTGAGTGAGTTTACAGTTCAAATACAGCTCGTTGATCTAGTTTATTGTTCTGGACTCTTCTGATCCTACAATTGTCATGCTATTGAATAGATACTGGGAATAAAATGGTTGACTCTTTCC